AATTTAGTTTTTCAATTCATTCCCCTAATACTAAGATAATTGTCCAATTAAATTGACATCATTTTTACCGCGTTATAAAATATCACCCGTTTGGAATATGAGTTCAAACAACGAATTTATTATTAACATTCTTTACTTTTCATTCATTGCAATGCTACTAAGCAATTATACATATATAGTACTTTCAAAAATAGTTAGATGAAAAATATTAGATTCTGACTATAAGCAAATTATAACAGGAGAACTTGATACTGACGTGATGCATAATAGCATTCCCTAAATAGAAATCAGAAATACTTTGTTCTCAGTAATATTGTTAAGAAATTAATTGGAGGCACTTAACAAACAATAGTGTTAAACAATTTATTGATATTCCAACTATCACTTATTAAAATGTTAAGATTTAAGCCCACTGGCATTAATAAGACACATCGTCCTGATTGTATAATTTGAAAACTAAGCTCACAATTAAAAATGTGAGTAGTAATTTTGCAAACTTCAAGTTGCGAATATCGCTCAACCATCTAATATATGTACAAAATATATTAGATACAAATAATATTTAGATAATCAATGTGGTAGGTGACAGGAACCATTATCACCCTAATTAAATTTTCAAAAATATAGGGAATTCAGCCTCTATTTTAGTTAGTGATGGTTAATATTGAGAACAAATAACATGTAAGAATTTATTGGATTGAAAAATCTTCTAGTTCTTCGTTGAATGTCTATTTGAATTTTTAATTTCGAATCATTGTTGATCAAGTGATTGTCCAATTGGTCATGGCAAATAATAAAATTAAATTGAACTTTTGGTTCTATATAAAATATAATTCAATTATTTNTGTTGATCCAGTGATGGTCTAATTGATCATTCCAAACAATAATATTAAATTGAACCTCTGGTTCAATATAAGATATAATTCAATTATTTAATTTCGATAAATATGATTAAACATTATATAATCATATAATAATCAATCAAATAGTCAAACCGATCCATGCCAATATGACATAGTTACATGTTATCCTTTAGTGATAAACACGAATTCAAATGATATATTTTTCGTAACATGTGCTACTTTGCGAACACTTGTATTTTACTATCGTTTCTTCAAAATCTATAAGTCAATATTCCTCTGGAATATTGAAAATTGTAATTATAATAAAATAATAAATTGTATAATAATTTATCCTTCATAAGTAAAAATATAATTTATGTTAAATCGCATGTAATTATGCTCTTCGAGTAAGTAGAATTTATCTAGAATATTAATGAAAATTATAATGTGCTACTTCGATATCACATTATATTTTACTATTACTTCTTAAATAGCAATAAATCAATAACCTTCTGAAATATTGAAAATTTAAATGTCATTATCTTCAAGAGCAATAATATATTATTATTTAAAATATAAATTACGTAAAAAATTAAAACATAATTTATGTTAAATTTTACTTAATTATACTCTTCGGGAGTAGATAAATCTAACTAAAATATCAATAATATTGTGCTAATTTAGAAGCAACAATATTTTATAATAGAAAGATATACGAGTACTAAATTCATAAATTATATTCTATTAAACAGAATAAAAACATGATAATTAGTCAAATCACAAATAAAAAGCATATTTAATAGCACGTAATAAATAAATATACCAGACATGTCTTAGCAGTTTTGTCCCAATCAATTCCAAGGACACCTATTATTCCACCTTCCAACCTGCCCTTTTCCTATTTTTCCTTTTCTAAGGCTATATTTGGTACAAATTCTCATTTTCAACAGTAAATCAATTCTCATTTTCAACCACACATTTTTCAATAAAATAATATTTTCTATCACATCAATAATCTTATCTTCTTTTTCAACCACACATTTCCCATCATATCACTATTCAA